ATAATAAACAAGGGTTTGCAGTCTGATCTAAGGTGTGATTTACTAGCAGAAATGATGTGACAGCTATGACTTCATTCTCCTTCTTGTATGGCGTGGTGCAGAGTCCTGTTCACAGACTTAGAACCTTCCAGCAGCCACCCTCTTGACCTAGTGGAGTGCTACCTTCTCAGGGCAATTGATGCAGGGCTCTATGTTGTGTCCGAATCTCTGTGGTAAGATGAATGAAGACATAACATCGCCATCGCTCCAAACATCGTCGTAATCACCATTGGACTCATCCAACTCTTTCTGAATGCGCTGTTCTCAGATTAATACCTAAGAAATCTGAAATGTTCGTATTGGAGCTTCCGGCGGAAATACCAAGCAATACATGATTCCGTTTTCAAGTTTCTGGCGGGGGTAAATTGCGTCATGGTGCTTTTTTTCTCACCAACGATGACCAACTGATCCTTCTATAAAATGGACAACTCCAAAAACAAAAACAAAAAAAAACGTGCATACGTCGCATTCAAAATAGAAAATTGCGAAAATTTATTAATCGCTCCCTGTATAGCCTCTATTTTTAGGCTGTAAATAAAGCAAATATTATTGAAGCCAATATACATTTTGTGTCAATTACTTTTACTGAAATAATTTTTCAATTCTGATGCGAAAAAGATCGTGGCATATATATATATATATATATATATATATATATATATATATATATATATATATATATATAAAAGAAATATGTTGTAGTGGTTCCAACGAGAGAAAAGTATGTATATTAAAAAGAAGAGGGGTGCCGCAAACGTTTTTGGTTGTAATGTGGATTTATTGAGAAAAAATATTATACTTTGTTTTACATAATTTCACGACACGTGTTTCTGGTCTGGTCTCGCAACCGTCTTCAGGTGAAAGTGGAGATTTTTACATATTATTAAAATAATTAATTTTTTCTTCATGTTCAATGTGGAATATTCTCGATATGAGACATTCTGTTTGTGTGTTGGCAATCCGAATTTTCTTTCTATATATATATAATACAATGAATCATTCATACAAAACGTAGATTAGTAAAGTTAATGATGTCAAATGGTGAAATCCCTTCGCAAACAAAATTGATAAATTTCTACAACAAAAAATTTTTAAATTGCCATATTGTAAAAAATCGCACTCTCTTAAATCTTCAAAAAACTTCAACCTTAGCGTTGCAACTGAATGCTCCAAAAGTTTGTATCCGTTAACAATAACACATTTCAAAAACAAACATTTCGATTCGCATTTAATCTTTGTGTCTCGGATGCTATTTGAATTTTAACAAAAACAAAATAATTTCCATTCCTGAAGATGACTGAATGTACAGTTGAAAGTACTTGCGTATTAAAGAAAGCCGTATACAGCTTATAATTTTTAAAAACAATAATCATAACATTTATCGAGTGATTTGTAGATTAATGCACCTTTAAAATTTTGTTTGTGAAGGGATTTCTCCTTTTTCTCCATCATTAACTTGATTAATTTATTTTTGTATGAATGATTCATTGTAATATAAATTGGACTGCATATATATATATATATATATATATATATATATATATATATATAAAAGAAAAAACAGACCATTTTAAGGTACCATTATAATAATTTATTTCACCGGAGTCCTTTTAAGGGACGCCGGATTATAAGATAGCACTTCCAAAAATGAATAATATATATATATATATATATATATATATATATATATATATATATATACGAATTTTAATTAGTTGGGTTTATCCCAAAGTGGACTTTAATCCAATGAGAGCTCGATGTAAGTTACAGAGCAATTTATAATGATAAATTAAGAAAACACCTTAAAAATCCATCTCGGTTATAATTTATTACATGAACATTGTTATATTCATTTCTGTGCTAACAGTTCCTTCTTTCACACTTCTGACTCGTGGGACTCTCTTCTGGCTTTTCGCTTTCTCACCGCCGTAACATAGTATCCCTGTGCTTTTTCTATTAATATGTTCATAGTAATTGTTCTGGTGAGCTTTACTCTTTTGTACCTTGACGTTATGGATTTAAGCGCAGTACTAAATTACCGGCAAGGTCTCGTCATTTTACAGTTAGAATGACAAGATGTAAGCGTAAGTTCTATGCTAGCAGCTTCTTCTCTTGTATTTATAACTTGTATTCTCTTCCAGGCTTCTTGTTTTCCAATCAACTTTGATCTTCAAAAATTCAAATGCAATGTCATTCGTTATCTACTGTCTTCTTAATCTCTCTTCTTTTATTGTTTTCGCTGCTTATTAATATTTTTCTTCGTTTATACTTACGTACTCAGTAACCCCCTGTGTTTTGGGGGCTTTATTGCCTTACTTCGTGAGAAATGATTTAAAAGTGAAGTTATTCAGATGAAGAAAAGAAGGGAGACAGTTTTCAACACACAGAGATTCAAATTAAAAACTCTTTGACATTTGAACCCTCATTAAAATCTCTTTGACATTTGAATCGATATTCCATATTTCGTTTTGTGAATATACCGTTCTATTATCCTTTTAAAATATGAAAATTATTTTTAAATTTTAGAAGTGTTTCATTTTTTTTTCTATTTTGTTCAAAATTTTATTCCGTTATAAAAATTGGTGACCTTCTACAAAATTCACACCTTCCAGTTTATCAGTGTCGACCTTACGGAATTAAAAGAAGACAGGAAATTTCAGGCTAAATTAGAAAAAAATTATTCCATTAATGTTTGAGCTGAGCGTGTATTCGTGCTTAATAGCGCATAAAGGGAAAAGCCGATCAATCGATTTTGGAAATAATGATACAGATATTCAAATCAAAAGAGAGATCAAAATTAAGTTGGATATTTAAAGGAAGAAAAAAGTGAACGAGGAGACCAATAAAAGCGAAACCAAACACGCATATCTCCTTCCCGCCATAAAAAGAAAATTAAAATTAAAATCTCAAATGGAAGCAAAGAACGCATTTTAAATTTACAAAAGGGAAATTGAAATCTTTACCGGCCAGATTACCAGATGATGTGTCAGAGAAAACGAGAACCGTGATCTATTTCATTTTATTTTAAAATCATTTCACCCCAAATAAGACAGTAAAGCCACTAAGACGCATGGGGGTTGCTGAGTGTGAGTGAATATGAGAAAAAGAAAACCCTATTAAGGAGAGATAACCATAAAAAAACACATAGGAATCAAAAAGACTGGCGATAACGTTTGACATTTCACTTAAACTTTTGAAAATCGAAGTTAACGGGAAAGCAAAAAGCTAGAAGAGAGTTCCATCAGCGAGAGAAGAAACTCTTAGCATAGAACTCCCGGTTACATGTAGCCATTTCATCTGTGAAATGATAAGAACTTACCATCAATCTTCTACTGCACTTAAATTCATAATGTCTACGTACCATAGAAGAAAGTTCATCGGAATTATTACCGTGAAATATTTATAGAAAAAGATAGTGGAAACTACGATACGGCGGTGGGAAAGTAATGGTTTCCTACATGTAGACTAGGTGTGGCACAAGGCCTAAAGTTCGTGGACTACCCTTTGACGATCTAACTCAGAAATTATTTTCTAAGTGTAGATAAGATGTGGCAAAAGGCCAAAATGTTTGGAAAATTCAGTGAGAATTAACCTTAGTCGTAATTGATTTAGCTTGCTAAACATTAAACCACCTGGAAGTGTCCAAGAGCGCCGGGATAGTGGCCGATGCAAAGGACAAATTACATTGCAAATTAGTCTTCATATTTTATCAAGGCTCATTATTTAGGTACAAGAAACAGATGTTTCTGTTTTCTGTTTGAATCTAAGAACCTATTTTAATATCTTCAAAAAGGATGTTCAATCCCTGACAGTAACAACAGAAATCCAACAAGGAATTCAACACTAACCTTGATACCACGTCACCTATTCTTTCGATTCGATAGTAGGTTGTTACATATATTCGTTTGTTTTTTCCGATATTGTGTGAATGATCTCGAAGTATAATGTTTCGCGGTATTCTTTGCTTCTATGTAGTTCGGAACATCTAGTGAAACTGTTGTCTAACTAAATTACAATTTATTTTAGCTTAAACATCCCTGTGAGATGGAAAGCCAAGTAAAAAAAAAATGAGCTTTTTTTTTTGTACAAGGCCATGTACAATCCCCAGGTGTCACTGGAGGTAGCTGGAGATTTTATACGGATAGAGTATATCAAAACTATGAGTTTGAAATATACTGCTTGTCGACCTCTCTGCCTTCGGGCAGGGAAGAATCCAGATGAGCCTATGCCCGAAGGTCACAGTCTCGTCAAGTGATGTAGACAGCAACCGACTCCGTGTAGTCGGGGTCTATGAGAAATTTTTGCTCGAGGCTACGGGCTCAGGATATCCCACGTAATTTAATCGGCATTGGTCGTCAACCCTCTTGTGGGGATCTTGGGTAAATACCGAATTTATACGGGGTCTATGAGAAATTTTTGCTTGAGACTATGGGCTCAGGATATCCCACGTAATTTAATCGGCATTGGTCGTCAACCCTCGTGTGGGGATCTCGGGTAAATACCGAATTTATACGGGGTCTATGAGAAATTTTTGCTTGAGACTACGGGCTCAGGATATCCCACGTAAGTTAATCGGCATTGGTCGTCAACCCTCTTGTGGGGATCTTGGGTAAATACCGAATTTATACGGGGTCTATGAGAAATTTTTGCTCGATACTATGGGCTCAGGATATCCACATAAATTAATCGGCCTTGAGACCTCAAGATATCCCCTCTTGTGGGGATATCCTGGGTAAATACCGACTTTATACGGATTTATAAAATTGTTGGGTCTATGGATTTTGAGTGAAAATTTTTTCTCGAGGACTATGGGCAGGATTCGGACCAGGCGTACCAAAAATTAGTTCGTCCGAGCTTTGGACGATCAATGTTGTGGGGATATCCTGATTTTAATCAAGGTCCCAAATGCTCGAACCATTTTTATACGGGATCTAGCGACAGTTTGGCAGAGAAATTTTGTTTCAAAGTGGAGAATTGAAGACATTGCAGGGCTGATTAAAGAAGATATCCCAAAACAGAAGATGGAAATTATCGGCATTGGTCGTCAACCTGCTTCTGGGGATCTGGGTGCCACAAAATGACTGAGATAAACTTTCAATACGGATGCGAGTATGATAAAATTGTTATATGATCGAAACATCCCCAGTGTGTGTGTTTCGTGTATATGTGATATATTTTCATATTGAGATAGAAAATTATTTCTCACCGAGATAGGGATAGATAGATAGATAGAATATGGGATAGATATTAATCTGAATTATACAATGAGAAGACTGAAATAAATTGCATCAAAAAGGTAGATAGTAGGTCCTTGCCCTGAAGTTCGGACCAGGCGTACCAAAGCAATGTAGTTCGTCCGAGCACTTTCCAAATAGCGATAATGTTCGACGTTTTATTCTCTCTGATTTTAATCAAGGTCCCAAATCTGCTCGAACCATTTGCGCTGTGTTCGGAGATGACTTCATTAGCGACAGTTTGGCAGAGAAATGGTTTTCTCGTTTCAAAGTGGAGAATTGAAGACATTGCAGGCGCTGATTAATGAGATATATATATGCCAGATATAAATTGACTGAAATAGATAGATAGAAGATGGAAAGCTCGTGATAGATAGATGATAGATATGATTGAATCTAGATATCGTATTATATATATATGATCAAGGAGCAGAAACAGATAGAGAATAGATAGGGTTGAATGAAATATAGATATGAGATAAATATGATCAGACTCCTAGAATTGATGCCTAGTTAGATAGATAGATATGTTTGAATGAAATTGGTAGATTATATATAATTGATCAGTGAAATAGATAGTAAACAGATAGATAGATAGATAGATAGATATATATATATATATATATATATATATATATATATATATATATATGATCAGACTGAAATAGATGTGTGTGTGTGTGTAGTAGATAGATAGATGATAGATAGATATATTGAAACATATTGATATATGATAGATAAATAGATAGAGATATGCAAAGGATAGATAGATAGATAGATAGATAGATAGATAGATAGATAGATAGATAGATAGATAGATAGATAGATGAATAGATAGATATATATATATATATATAATCTGAATTATAGAGATGAGAAGACTGAAATAAATTGAATAAATATTAATATATATATGAAAAGGTAGATAAATATATACATGCATACATACATACATACATACATACATTCATTCATGAAATAGATAGATAGATATATATATAGATAGATAGATAGATAGATAGATAGATAGATAGATAGATAGATAGATAGATAGATATGATTGGAATGAAATAGGTAGATATATATATATATATATATGATCAGACTGAAATAGATAGATAGATAGATAGATAGATAGATAGATAGATAGATAGATAGATAGATAGAGATATGATGGATAATCTGAAATATGAGATATATGAGCAGACTGAAATAAATTGATAAATATTAATATAGATGAAAAGGTAGATAGATTGGAATGAAATAGGTACATATATACATATATACAGAACAAACTGAAATAGATGATAGATAAATAGATAGATAGATAGATAGATAGATAGATATGATCGAAATAGATAGAAATAGGTAGATAGATAGATAGATATATGATTGGAATGAAATAGGTAGATATATATATATATATATATGATCAGACTGAAAGGATAGATAGATAGATAGATAGATAGATAGATATGAATAATCTGAAATATAGATAGATATGAGCAGACTGAAATAGATTGATAAATATTAATATACGGAAAAAGATAGAGAGATAGATCCATACATACATGCATGCATACATACATACAGATAGATAGATGAGATAGATAGATAGATAGATAGAAAGAATAATCTGATAGATAGATAGAGCAGACTGAAATAGATTGAATATATTAAATACGGAAAAGATAGAGAGAGATAGATCCATACATGCATGCATACATACAGATCAGACTAGATAATAGATAGATAGATAGATAGATAGAATATGCAGAATGAAAAAGGTAGAGATAGAATTATAGACTGAAATATAGATAGCTCAATATGCTCAGACTAAGATAGATAGATAGATAGATAGATAGATAGTGTTACAAATGATTTTTAACAATTTCTCACTTTAGGACATACGCGATCATGACTCCCGTTAATATCCAATTATTTATTCTCTGTGAATTGTTGAGACATACAGGGAATGAGAGTGGCGTGGTTTCTTGTTGCGAAAATGAATGCAGCAGACGAAGCATGAATATGAAAAGAACCATACATGTACGCAATTAGAATTTAAGCAAACATTTGTCTTTAGAATCTTAATATTACGCATTTGTAAATAAAATCTCTCGACACGACATTTTCGTGCCTCCTACATTAGAAGAAGACTTCTGAAGAAAATTTCTGCTTGGAAAGTGGTTAAATTTCATTTTTATAAAAGGGTTTGTCATCAGCTTGCATTTTAAGTTGACACCATGCAGTTAAACATTCTTGGAATTTCGTGAATCCTTGAAAGAAACCTTTGTATTAACAGCATCGAAAACGTGTTGAACAAAACGAAAAAAGCTGCTGGGATCACTGTATGCAACTCAAAGATGTTTAATCAAAGATTAACTTGCAGGGTACATGCGGAGCAAAACAACGTTTGTCAGGAAGATTTTCTTTTTTCAGTTTTGAAACAGGAATGCCTCAAAGGTATGTTGGATGGTGTTGGATGATATTTCCCTTTATCCTTTCTCGTTTTTAAGATAGCAGATATAAAGAATATCACCACCAACCTTGGAAACTAAAATTGAAGAAAAGTTGAAATATGAATAATTATTTTTATTCATACACACAAAAAGACAAAAATTGGAGAAGATAATCTTCTACCGGAACTGCCCCTCGGAATCAAATGCATTTCTAAGGAGGAGATCTCATAAGTAGATATTGAAATATTTTTCAAGTGTTGAAAATATAATATCCAGACGTTATATTTCATCTGTTAAGATAGCAGGGATATTAACTATTTGTTGCGATGTATCTGGCAACAGGCAAGACTTAACTCGACCGAGTCAGTCCTGATAGTAGTTTTCATTACTCAGCTAGACTAGTCACCGTCATAGTATTATCGTCTGCTCCCTAGACATTTGGCCAAGACTACTTATCATGAATGGACTGATCCATTCATGACAGTAAGGATGATAACTAGATTTTATCACAATACGAATATATTGCAAATAGTTCCACACAAAGGAAATTAAATTATAAATAGGCCAGAAAAATGAAGACTGGAAATTTTCAGGCTCTATTGGAAACATTACCCCATTAATAGACGAATATATTGCAAATAGTTCCACACAAAGAAAAATAAGTTATAAATAGGCCAGAAAAAAAAGCCGTTATCTTCTGTCTATATTTCTCCAATGAGTTATTGCAACTATTTACAATATTTACGTTGTACGAATTGTTACCCTCCTCTTAAATAGACGAATCGAATTTTTTTATTCAGTCAAAAAGTTATAACACAAAGATAACTCAACTCTCCAAAAACTGTGGCCTGGGATTGAAAATCTCTTTCGGTCAAGGCCAAAATTTGGAGAGTTGAGTTATCAAAAATTAAAACTGTGATATCTTCGTCGATTTCTATGGAGTTAAATTCGGTTCCAATATTCACACAAAGAAAAATATTTACAAATCCGAACAATGGCCTGAGTTATTTTATGCGTTTAGAAAGTCCAAGTTTCAAAGGATATATTAACAGAGGATGAAGTACGCAGTATTTTAAGTCATTTTCCTATATTGTAAGTTATATTAATGGGATTTGAACGGATTATTAAAAACTATTGACATTAAAAAAATTTTCGGATTAATATATCGTAAATCTATTTGTTGGATTAAGCTCTCCTTATCTTAGAAATGATTATATCTTAAATCATTATTCGGTTTTTAGAACACATTTGAATACATTCATAAGTATTTATTTAAAGAAAATAATTTTCATCGATAATTAATTTAGGATCAGAAGCATTGAAATAAAAATTCATATATATATATATATATATATAATTATTTTTAAAAATATGATTCGTTACATAAAGTTATCATGTTTCAAAAACAAGAGCCAAAAACTTCAATTTTGCTTGAGGATGAAACAGCTAGATACTTTAATTCAATTTAATTTTAATGATTATATTCAAGTTTTTGGCTCTTGTTTTTTAATCTTGAGAACTCTTTTAGCGAAAGAATCATATTATTAAAAAAAATAATTATAATTTAGGCTCCACTTTTGTATTGAGCACTGTTTTTTTAAAAATAAAAACGCAAATGCTGAAGAACTTGGGATTATTTACCTAACGGGTTCTTCCTATTTTTCTATATATTTGCATATATATATATATATATATATATATATATATATATATATATGTGTGTGTATGTGTGTGTTATTCCAGGATCATTTTACAAATTATTTAAGATAATCTTCGAGCTCTCTACCCTTCTAACTTTCTGTCTTGGTGTAACATGTTGCTTCACAAGTTTGACGTAAGGTTTAAGTTACAAATCTTTTTTTTACAGTTCTTTCGACTGACATGGCTGAATCTTATGTTTCACGTGTCAAACATCTTATGGATTGAGTTGGATCTTTTCTAATTGTTCTTTTCAGTTCTAAATTGAAATGAAAAAAGCTGTCCAGGGCTTTCATCCAAAGGCTGACCGAATGGTTCTGGAATGAATCTTTGAATGTTAAAAGGAAGACATGAATGTTCCGAACAAGGTAAATAATCTGAGTTATTTTTATCAGCGTTTAGAAGTGGGTCTAAAAAAAGAATATATTAACAAATTTTTTCCAATGGGATGAAGATTAACGCAGTCATATGGATACAATTTGGATAATTCTGGTTTCTGTATATAATATATATATATATATATATATGTTTCGGATTGATTTTGAAATATGCGTTTCAGAGGATAAAGTAAGAAATATTTAAACGCTATATTCTAAGTTATATTAAGTGGGATTTTGAACGGATATATTGAAAATTCAGTTTCCACATGAACAAACACTTTATTCAGGCGCTATCATTGATGAATTAAAAATGTGTTAGATTTATCGGATTAATATATCGTGTAAATCTATTTGTTGGATTAAGCTCTAAACCTTTGTATCTTAGAAATGATTAAAGATATCTTACACGCATTATTCGAGATTTTTAGAACACATTTGAACTCTACTTTGAGCAATAAGTATTTATAAATATACAATTTTTGTAGGTCTGATGAATTGGATCGTATTTACGATTCCAATGGAATAAATTATGACTATAGAATATTAGTGTTTAAGCTTTTTTTTTTTTATATATATATATATATATATATATATATATATATATATATGAACATGGTTATATATGAAAATTTCAGTAAAAATTATGATCATATCAATATTTTTTCAAATAAGTTTTGTTTAACCCTGTTTACATTGGGAAATCGGTGCACGTCAAACCATCAAGTTAGCTTCTCTCATTTAAGACGAACACCGATTCATAAACGCCAAAGTTTTCCAAGCATCTCTTCTCATTGAAGATTCTTCTTGAACGAAATTATTGGAAAAATTGGTTTCTGAGGATAAGGATAACGTATGAATTATTTAGACGCAATTCCAACGAATATATTCAAAAATTTATTTCAGTATATAGTGCACAAATTATCCAGGCGCAATCTTTTAACTCTTAAAAAACTGAATATTCAACGGGTATATTTAGACATTTATTTCAGAAGAATACAAATTATTCATAGACTATTTCTCTAAGTCTTAAAGCGGTAATTAAATTTAGACTGCAAATTATTCAGACGCTATAATCTAAGTCTTAAGAAATCGAGAGTTTCACCGGATATATCCTAAAAAATGTAGTCTTAGTCCCTGGTTGCATTCAGCAAGATCTAGCAAATTCTAAACCAATGTATCTCTATCTGATTTTTCATTTTTCATTTTCACCGACGTAGACGGACCTACGACATGGTTGACAGTCTCTCCTTCATATATACTGACAAGGCCTTCTACATTAGGGAGACAGGAATCATAAGTCTAGTTGCTGTGCCTGAAACGTAATCGAGGGTATAACTGCATAGTCTCGTGTGACTCACGGATGCTTAATTTAAATTGATGAACTAAATTAACAGAATATTACATTAGACACATAATTATCACCATTAAGTCAAATTCAAAATAGTGGGACATCTAAATGTTTTTTTTCACTTTCACCTGTGATTTAAAACATCCGCTACTTTGTATCTTTAACCATTCATGAGAAAGACTTTGGGAAATAAACTCGAGGAAATATTCGAAGCTGGTGACCCTGACGAAGTTCTTGGCTCTATTCCGCAACGTCGTAGCAATTCTTCCAGAGGTGCTGGTAACATTTGTATCAACATTTACTTTTTCGTTGGACCATTTCGGTGATGTCAAAATTGGTGACATTATGTAAAGGCAACAGACTCTCATCTATCTATAATTACCCAGACCTTGACAATACAGATTTTCGGACCTCAACACTCTTCCAGCTTCCAAATGCTAAACCTAGTAAAAGTATATAATCGGTGTCCCTAGTCGGTTTTTGTCTGCATTCAACTCCTCCAACCATATGTATCGACATCTACCTTAGACAAGCTATGACCAGCTTAGACGAGTGATCCGAGTGTCTCTACTCGGGTCCTTCACGTTAAAACAAATTGAACTTGTTTCACAACCTGACTCAGTGGGGAGTCCAAGGTAAATACCCAGATGTTTCAAAGTGAAGAACACAAAAGGTTGATTATGTGGGCCACGAAAAAGGTCTAACAGTCAAAAAAAAGGTTATTAGTAATTGTGAGGGCATCAACTTGCCAATCAGGCACACGATTCTCACCATGGAGTCCGTGAATTCCTATAGGTCAAGTTCCCGACTAGGGTTAAATAAACCTATGAAGTTAAATTAGTTTGGTAATTCTTTGAGATAAGAATCGTTGAAATTAAAGTAGGAGATGGGGAATAAGCAGTGTGTGTGTTTGAGAGAAAAACACAGAGAGAGAAACAGAGAGAAACAGAGATGTGGAGAGAGAAATAGGCAGAGATTTTGTATTTACTGTGTAGCCATTGTTGATTATT